AAGCAGAAACGTCTCACGAAACTCTTAAAAAATACAAAACTTACCTAACCCATCCCTACTCACTATGCCCAAAGCCTAACAGAAAGAGGGATTCTGAAAGAGTTCTGAAGATCTTCTTTCCTGCAAGACTGTGGAGTAAAGGTAAAACAGGGAAGTGAAAAAGAGGCTTCTTTCCTTCACAAGCAAAGCAGCAGCAAGGCGTGCAAGCAGAGAGGTATCACAAAGCCTGTTAAAGTTTTGGTCATGTTCACATACTGTGCTAAGCCATAATCTAAGCTGACCCCTCATTTCTCATTTTACCCACTACTATCTTTTCTACTTGCAAAAATAACAAAGTTGGTTTAAATTCTTAAAATTTGGAACAAAGCCCTGTCCTCCCTCTTGAGTCAACTTATCCCCATGGGCAGGAGACACCTACCTTCCTTTCAATAGTTTATGGCATAGAGTCTGTGCAAAGAAAGGATACTCACAAACAATGGGAAGTTCAAACTGTGCTGTCCATACATATATTCTGGATGTTCATATGTCTTAGCTTGTAGGCGGAGGTACTTTAATCTCAGGGTCAATGTACACTCTCTCAGCAGTACAGCAGCTGCACAACTCTGCTGATAAACTCCATGCCCCTCCTCTTCTCCACCCACTTCCCCAATATCCATACCTTTTACAATCCTAAACTAAAGCTGTTTAGATCTAAAAAATGGAGTTTTGGGGATGGCTATGGACAAGCTGATGGACAAATCCTACCTTCTACTTCCTACTCCTGGAAAGCGACCTTCTGAGTGGTAACCTATATTCACACTGACCTTCTGGGTGATCTAAGCTATTGCCTGATAAATGCAGGTTCCCTAAAGAAAAGCTCTAGTAAGACCTAGACCTTGATAAATCAGAGCACAAAGAAAGTGCCTGTGCTCTGCTCTGAGCTAATCTGAATTGGCAAAGTTACTAGGTTACTCTAACATAGAAGCAGAGGTGTAGAGCCAAGTTTACAGGATATTTAAACAAAGATGTTATAGGCATTAAATCTCCCACATAGGTTAGCATGCTGAGACCAGAGCTACATCTTGCCCCAGTTTCCCAAAGATCACCAGAAGCAGTATACATATGGCCCAACAAAAGGATTATAAACAAGACAGATACTAAACAACCCCATCTTAAAGTAAAATTTCTGACAATTATTAGCATCAGAGGGAAAGTGGTACTGCTTAAAAAGACATTCTGGATCACTATATAGCTACAATAATTTTTTGCTATACAGGAAGAACAGGCAGCATATAATCTACATATGACTGTAAGGGAGCTATATTTCTTCTGAAGAGAAAAGGTCTGGCATCTTCAGACTGACCCTAGGACAAGCATTTGTAACTGGATCTAGATGACATCTAAGCAAAGAAAAGATCTTGCTTATACTAGATTAGCCAGAGAAATTCAGAACAAGGACTGTATTCTAAACATCCTGGATGTTTAGAATACAGATACAGTATAAAGCCACATGATTAGCACACATGAATCACTGAATCTGGTGTGTTACTGATGCTGCATCACATCATCCAAATACTCTGATTGTTCATCTACCCAAGAACAGACACTAGCACTTAAGCAAGATGAAAGCTCAAAAGTGGAAGTACAGACAGAGGGAAGTGTGAAAGCTGATACAGAGGTTTCCCAGACTGAGTGAATAACCAAGATAAACTCATGAAACGACTGGAAAGATTCCTGCTTCCCTTGGAGCTTTTAGCTTAATATATAAATTAATTAAAAAAAAATAAAATCTATCTAGCAGCCATCTATCAGAAAAATAAAGTATTTTTCAATTCAATAATATGCAAAACAGCACAATTCCTAGCACGCACATTGCTTTTAATATCAGCGGGGGTGGCGTTGTTCTCCACCCCCAAAAGTGTGCAGGGAGCAACAGGCTTTTATGGCCAAAAGAGAACAAGGTATCTTTTCCTCACATGAGTTCTGCTAGAAAAAGTAAGTGGAGAATGTAGTAAGAGTAAAATCAAATAAGCAGCATCAATACAATAAAAGAGTTAAGAACTTTGCTCAAACTGCTACAACAAATTATTCTTGCCCAGGTGGGCAACCAAAATTATTTGATGCCATATACACTCAGAAAAGGGGAGATATTTTACATATATAACTAGACCAATACATTCATACCGAGCACTCTCACCTCAGTAGAGGTTTGCTTACATGACTGGGAGCAAGAATATTTTTCAAATTACTCTTTAAACATAATATATAGCTGCAAATACAGTCTGTTTTTCTGTACTGCTAAAGATTTCACCTTGAATGAATCCACATGCTGGGTATAAAACTTAATCACGAACATCACTGTTATTAGTTGTCTTGGTTTCAGCTGGGATAAAGTTAACTTTTTTCCTAGTAGCTAGCACAATGTCGTGCTTTGGATTTAGTCTGAGAACAATGCTGATAATATACTGATGTTTTATTTGTTGCTAAGTAGTGTTTACCCTCATCAAGGACTTTGTTTCTTGTGCTCTGCCAGTGAGGACTTTCTAATCTCAACCCCTGAGGTTTTTACCTTTTTCCCAATTCTCCTCCCCATGCTACCAGGCAGCTGAGGGAGCAGCTATGTGGTACCCGGTTGGCAGCTGCAGGCTTTTTGAGTTTTGGGTTTGTTTGACTCCTCAAACGTATCATTTGACCCAGATTCTTCATTGTTGATAGAATATTGTTAGTAACTAAACACATGTGAAACCAGCCTAAGCAATACAATTCAGATTCACTACAAACTTTATGTAGTATATGAAATACACTGAAGTACATGCAAAGATGAAAACAAACCAAAAATATATTACATATCTAAATACGATTATGCCAAGCTGTATAGCAGCTTCTGCCATTCATTCATTCTCACAGGTAGACCACAGGGAAGGGTGTAATGGCCTTATTCCACCAATTCTAGTCTGGCTATTCTCCTTTATCACCTTCATGATAAATGTTCATCTGTAATTCACTTATTTCACAACCACGTCTCAAAATAAAGGGTTTTGTTTGATTTTGGCCTTTGCAGAGAGCTCTTGTGCAGAAGTACTACCAAAAAACCCAAACAACTTTTTGAATGGCACTGCCCTCTTGACAGAAATGGAGCTGTATCACCTTAGCAAAGCTATCCTCCCTTCACTGATATTCAGGTCTCACTAAAACTCCCCCACTGCCTTGCCATATGGTTCAAGATGAGAAGTTCTTGAAAAGCAGCAGTAGACTCACACCTAGGAATCAGTTATCTATATTAACTAGATAAAATATAGTTTTGGTTAGCTTTTATTTATAGGTAATTTAGTTACAAACCAATAGGCCACTCTGAAGGCACAGAACCTACTGAAAATACATAAACTTGTCCCTAGAAATCAGAAGTTTTGTTTCCTCATGAACTGTGGCCTTTTATTTTACCCAACAACCTGTGTTGCAAAAATGAGAGCAGGAGTCAGAATCTATCATTTTCTTTAAGTTCCTAATCACCGAGTAACACAAGCATGATCTCTAGCCTAAGAATCTTGATCTTTATATGCATTTTCCCGAAGGACAAGTTTATCCTGCCAAAGCCATCTGCTGGTTGGAGTAATCCCTTGCAGTATCTACTTGAAGTTTTTGGAAATCCCTTTCCCAAAAGCTGCTGTAACAACCAGGCTGTGGAGCACAGCCTCCAACAAGTCTTTATGAGAAAACAGACACTACTACTATATTTATAGAATTCCAAGACACATGATTTTACTTTAAATCTTTATGGCATCATGGGAAGAAAAGAAAAAAAAAAAAAAAAAAAAAAAAAAGGTCACAATCCAAAATTCTCAGAGAAGTTAACAGATAGTCTCAGAGAAGTTAACAGAAAGTATGCCTGGCTTCCAGTATCTTGTCAAGCTGGGATATAAGCTAGACTGACATGAGAAGCAGGGGTATATCTCAAGAAAGCTCAGGGAAAACTCTACAAACCTTGCCATCTGTATTGAGGAATTTCATAGTATTGCAAGTTTGGAAATACCTAAAAATTATCACACCATTTTGCACAGACATCAAGGTCATTATCAAGTACTGTCAATGAGAAGCAACATCTTCCCATAGATAGTATCTGTGTTACACTACAATCCATGCTATGGGAGCGGGAGTGAAGCACACTGCACATGAAGAATGTAATGCTTTAACACACAGCACAAAAAGAGACATTTAAAAAAAAAATCACTTTCAAAGCTCAATACCTAAAATGCCATTAATTATTCTATATGTAGTTTAGTAGTATGGTATCCATAAAGATTTATTCTGTGCCTTGCATGTACTTAACATCTTTAGCTCTTGGAAAAATCATCTACCTTAGCAGTTAGACTTTCACTGATCTCTACACTAGATGCTGCTGCACAACATTGCAGGACTGTTGGGATAACAGAATTCAGTTAAAAACATGAAGTTATGCTACACACACCCCCATCACACAAACTATATTTGGTGGAAATGGGAAAACTGCATGAGAAGCTTAGTACTTGGTTAAAAGTTGTAGATTAACACAGACTTTCACTGAAATGTCTCACATGCTTCAATGTAAGAAAAATCTTCAAAGCAAGACCTTAGAAGGTTCTGATGACCCAGTAAAAGCTTTAGAAGCAACAATCACCTACTGTTCCTAACTGATTTGCTAGCACCTCTAGCTAATAAGAGAAATTGAAGAATTAAACAAGACTAGAAAGATACCTCTATACAGGCTTGAATCATCCTCCCTTCACTATAAAAAAAAACCAAAACCCAAAGTTCTAGCAGTACACATTCCTACAAGTGTCCAAAACAAAACTTTTAAACTGGAATGTTATGCAAAGTCAGTTGGGAAAGAG